GAGGTAACTATGGGGAGGAAGTGGGAGGGGAGCTGTTGCATTGTGGTAAACTGTAGTCAATGACAGGAGACAATGTATATGTGAACTACTGTACAGAAAGTGAATTTGCTCTGTAAATCTTCACCCAAATAAAATAAATAAATAAATAAACTGTAGCAATTTACACCAGCCCAGTGTCAAACATCTTCCTCTTCATTTGGTAAGGTTCTGGTCAGCTCAGCCCTAGTCATCCAAGTTAGCTCATGGTTACCAGCTACAAGCTTGGGAGTTCATACACCTGCCTGCACATCAAACCAGCCAGTCCCTTCTCCCTTTCTCTCATCCCCAATGCCTGTAGTAGGCTCGGGAGTCCACACTGTTCCCTGCACTTCAGACCATCCAACCCTTCCACTTATCCCTAACCTCCTCGGGTTAGGTCAACAGGTGCTAAAGTCAGCTCGTTTCTTAATTGCTGCACTTCCTCCACTTCCACTCATCAAGTGGACCAGGTGATTACCACAAGCAAGCAGATAACAGACTATTTATATGTGGGCTCCCTTTAACTTCTAGTCCTGAAAGGGTTTTTGATGGGCATTTGACTTTTTCCTGCCTTGATGCAGGCAAACACAAACTACAAAATTCAAAAAGCCAAACAGTCATTTTTCCCCTAGCAGGTCCTTCCTTCAAATATAAATCTTCTGTTCTCTCAGCAGTTCTCGGTGGGTCTGCATGTCTTTTGAAATGTAAATTCCCTAACTCTGAATGTTCTGGGTGGTGCTCAGGTTTTTGACCTACCCTCAATACTCTATATATAGTGAACTCTGGTAATGTAGTGCCTAAGGCACTTGACTGCTAACCACAAGGCTGGGGGTTCAAACCCACTGGCCACTCCTCGAAAGGAAGATGGGGCAATCTACTTCCGCAGTGATACTGCCTTGGAAACCCAAGTAGGAGTCACTATGAGTTGGACCGAGGGCACATAACAACAACAACTGCTTGATACAAAAAGTTTGTTTGTTCCAGGCAAATTCTAGTTCCCCTTTTAACATATCCAATCAAGTATTGGCTGAAGGCGGATTTATGCACTCTCTGTTATCCATACCCAATATTCATTTCTAATATACACCCAGGTAAGAGAATATTCAATATCTATAGTATATTCAGATAAACATATAATCCAAAACACATAACCCTTTTTAAAACATTCCAGTTTCATCTTCTCTTCACCTTGACTATCTTCTCATTCTACATATATGACCTTGGGCCTCTGGCTGGGTGGAACCAAAAACCTGGGCCTCCTATCAATCATCTGCTTTAATCAGCCTGGCTATTGCCCAAGTTCACTCCAAATAAGCTTTTCTTTGCTTAGCTGCAGCATATCTCTTACATTCCTTTCAGACATTACAGGTGACAGCAACCAAAGTAACCATCTAAGAATCAAAAGTTTCACTTCCCAGGCCCCTTCTTTCTCTCTCCTACAAAGCCCCATGCTTCCATTACAAAGCCCCATGCTTTCATGAGTCTGGAGCCATTGCAACGAATCCCACTCTGATACCAATTGCAAAAAGGGTGTAGAGGTGGTGTCTCCTGATATCCTCTAACTTCACAAGAGAGAAGGATTAACAGCAACAGTCCAAAGCTGATTTCCATAAGATGGAGGTCAGACATGCCACTATCCTCCAACACACCCTACTCCTGGTACCAAATTCTGTCTTAGTTCTCTAGTGCAGCTATAACAGAAATACCATAAATGGATGGCTTT